ACCAGTGTGAGCTCACTCTATTTAGGAGAAAGGAAGCTGCCCATATTCATGAATCGTGAATAAAAGTTAATTAGATATATTATAAAGTTTGTTGTAATTTTGTCTTCTTGGAAAAAAAAAAAAATATATATATATATATATATATATATATATATATATTTGAATAGAGGGTGGGTCTAGGAAAGGGAAAGCAGACTGAAAAATAATCATCACATATATAATGCATAAAAATACACTCGCCATGATATAGTTACAGTTAGAGAAAGAAGGTGAATTATACACCATTGGGGACAGTAGTCAAAGGAAAAGCTTATCGCTTTCTGTTCTATTCAATGTCATTGATTTTGTGTTTCTAAATAATGTAGTTTAATATAATACATGTAATTTGAAAAGAATATTAATTCTATCTACATATGTCACTAATATGTGTAGAGAGGAAGACAATACAAAGTTAGAGAGAAAATCATAATTACTTCTTTTTTCTAGAAAAAAATATTGTGAAGTTTTTATTTAATATTTAATACTTCTCATTGGAAAGATCACTTTTCTGTTTTGTTTTAAACTTATTTTGTGCTCACTTACAATTACTATTAGAAATAATTAAATCTAGGTGAGCTATTCTAAGAATTAGTGGTGCAAGATATTCAATGAATTCTCATAAAAATCCCCCTGAAACATTTATTCAAATTTTCTCTGTTCTAATTGTATCCTTTTTCTTCTAATTTATTCATCTTTAATTGTATTCCATTTGAAATTAGTGTTCACTTTTTGGGGTAATTGAATGAGCTCAGATCAGTAGGTAACTAATTGTACAAAAGAAGCATTTCCATAGAGAACTCTGTCCCCCAATTTTTTTCTGATAACTCACCTGGGAAAAGGACAAAGAATGGTCTATGTGAAAAGAATGCCCAAGAGTTTTTATGAATATCATGTAAATAGCGTGCTCAGAAAGCACTCTGAATATTTTCTACTTTGCCTTCCTAACCTAGGTGTTCTTCCTTTGTCATTTGCATCAACAGAAAAACTAACTGCTCTGAAGCTAATAGTTAAATATACATCTGTGAACTAAAGTTTCTTTGTCCTCTGAAAATTTAAAAATTTAAATATACTTCCTCACATTTCCTTTATATTGAAGTCTATCAAAATAAAGTAAGTAAAAGATACTTGTTTTTTATGGGGAATGTATTCTCAGAGGAGATTGGAATGTGTACATCATACTACGTAATACACATATGAAAGGCAGAGTATATTTCATTTCAGGAAACCTTTTATAATGTTTGGAAATAACTAGCTTGGTGCCTTTGTGAACAACTAGACTTCACTTGCAATTAATGTCTCTCTTATTTTCTCACTGAAATTGATGGTAAAAGCACAAAAATGTAGTTCTGACAAATATTAACTACTTGAATGAGATATGAAGCTTTCAATCAATTATATGACTATCTCATATCAATCAATTTCAACATAAGTTCAAAATTTTATGGATTGATTTCCCCATATGTTTCAATCAGAGTTCAGGGTCAGATGAAAATAACCTGTATTTTTTTTCTTGTGATCTTCTATTCTATATAAAGCTAAATACTAATTGCAAGTATAAATTAAATATTGTATAGGATGAATATAAAGTAGAAACAAGATATACTGGTATGAAAATATGAGGGTGGATACAAAGATAATGGCAAAAGAATACAGTCTACCAACTTACTAAAGTGACTTTAAATGTTTGTGTATAGATTTTCATGTAGTGAAATAGGGATGGGAAATCACTGGAAGTAGGAGATCAAAAAGTCATAGAATCCAAGAGTTAAAATAATGAAATATGAGAATGATACAGAAAATATAAGAAGAATTAATGACCTTAAATATACTTTAGAGTGACTTGCATGGATTAGGCATACCTGCTGTTTTGTCTCTAGGCAAATATAGAGAAAAAAGGAACAGGGTGAACACCATTCACAGTCAAAACCATACTTAATAAGGAGAAAATATGAACAAAGTCCAAAATAATACAAATTAAATAAAATCACAGAGCGAATACTGAAGGGATGATTGACATCAGTGTTAGATATAATAAGTTATGGAAAAACTCCTGGAGGACCAAATTGAAAATTCCTCTTTAAAAAATTGTAGAATGGAGCATATTTCAATAAAGCATTATTGACATAAAAAGCTAGAAAAAGAAACAATTAAGGAATGAGCTATGGTAGAAAAATATATGATGTGAACATAACAATGCTTTTTAAAAAATAAAAATCATGTATCTTTTATCGTAGTTATTTAAAAATGTGTGTGAACTGTAACTTTTAAAAAATTTGTTTTTCAATAGGATAATTCTGATTCTGCTTATGTCATATATCTTCCACATCATGGTATTTTTATGTGAAAGAAAACTTGGGCCCAGAGATGTTTCTAAATTCTCTGTGCTCCTATTAACATATTGAGTCATATGGCTAAAGTAAAGGAGCCACACTAATTCAGAACAAATTTGCAGTACATATTTTTTTTAATCTTTAAAATTTTAAACTCCAAATTTGTTATCTTGATATCTCACTACCTCATTTAAGGCATTGATTATATTTTGATCTTTACCTTTACCTTTCCAATTACTAGGAGACTCTAAGAATTAATGATAACAATATCCTAAAATATGGATACTAAAATTTCCTTTGTCATAGGGTGGGTGGGTACTACTGATTTAGTAGACATAAAACATTATTGGAGTTTTGTCAAATATGGCTCAGTGAGTATTGCTTGGAATTACTATTGTTTTATCATTGTTATTTCTTCCAAACTACAATACATATAATCAAAAGGCAACATTCACATATTAATTCTGAGTAACTTTCTGTAATTCTTACAAGATGACACTGCAGATTTAATGAAATAGAGAATTTGAAAACTGTGCTTTGTAACCCTGAGAAGAGTACCTTGAAATTGCTAATTGACTAACAAGAGTGACTCTGAATTTTGTTGCTGGAATGCTGTCCCAACTTCCCCTCTGAATAGTCCTCTTCTTACAGAAGACTGTGGTGGAGTGTGCTTTATGAAATCTGGAACATAAACCAAAACCTTCATTCCCTAATTCATCTCTCTCAACATAGTGTTTTACTCAGCTTATTGATTTTTTTTTTTAATTTTCAATACTCCTTTTAGTAAATAAATAAATAAATAAATAAATAAATAAATAAATAAATACATACATACATCCTGGAAATATAAAATAACTTGTATATTTTAAAAAGTCTCTGAGCCTGAATTAGGATATTGAATTTTCTCCTGATAGCAGTTGATGTGGAATTTGAAACTGTATTTGTAGTTACATATGATTAGTGGATCAATGGAACCTGTCCAAACTCTTTTATTAAGACAAAATATTGAATAATCTCTACAAGAAGGATAAGTTATCTAAAATACAATATAAAAGAACACATATTGAGGTTGGAAGTAATAGTTATGCATGTAATAAAGTATACACAAACAAATTCTTTCTTTTATTTTTGTGTAGTTTTATTTTTTTATTTGTTATTTTCAAGGATACATAACAGTAGAGTATATGTTCAAATGTTTTATATACATGGAGTATAACTTATTCTAAGTAGGATCCAATACTTGTGGTTGTACATGATGTGGAGTTTCACTGGTGGTGTATTCACATATGATCATACTAAAGTTATGTCTGATCCATTCTACTGTCTTTCCTATTCCCAAACCCTCTCTATTTCCTTCATTCCCCTTTTTATAATTCCCCTCCCTGCTACCATTGTGTGTTAGTATTCATATATCAGTGAGAAAATTAGACCTTTGCTTTTTGGGGATTGGCTTTTTTCATTTAGCATGATAGTATTCAGATCCATCCATTTACTGGCAAACTTCATAAAGTCATTCATTTTTAGGGTAAAGTAATATTCTATGATGTATATATACCATATTTTTTGTCCATTATTCTATTGAAAGGAACCAAGTTTGGTTCCAGTTATTGTGGTTTGAGCTGCTATAAACATTGATGTAATTGCATCACTGTAGAATGCTTATTTGAAGTCCAATTTGAAAATTGGATCATATGGTAGTTCCATTCCAAGTTTTCTGAGAAATCTCCATACTGCTAATGGTTGCACCAATTTGCAGTCCCACCAGCAATATATGAGTATACCTTTCCCCTCACATCTTCACCAACATTTTTGTTACTATACAATTTTTTTAGACAAATTATTAACCATGGTGAAACTTATGTCATTGTACCTTCACACACACACACACACACACACACACACACACACACACACACACACTATTTATACCTGAAGAAACTGATGTTGAAAGTGTTTGATTTCTTGCTAAATTCCAAGTATCTAGTAGAAATTGGATTAAATCCAGGCTTCTCACTCCCTATGGAGATGGTAAAACTATTCAACCAACTTGTTGGGGTAGGACAGGCCTATCATGATGATTCTCAGAGCTTTACATTTTCTGATCTTTCTTCTACTATCACTACCTTAATATTGTACTCTTCTTATCATTTCTGAAATGCTGCAGCACTGCTTGTGAAAAGTGACTCATATGATTCCAGGCCTCCATGCAATAGCTGCTCTACCAGAAAACTGAAGATAAAAACCAGTAAACGTAATTTAAACAGCCCCGCCCCCTGCTGATTTTTATGGCAGGTAAAGTTTGAAAACCACTGTCTGGGTGTTTTCCAGCAGAGTTACCACTACTTATTAAATTTTCACCATAAGGAGAACATTATTGTCTGCCTTTATTATTCAAAGGAGAAAATTCAGTTTCAGAATGTTTAGCTATTTTTTAATGTAACTGCCATTTCTTGAGTGTCATAAATAGAAATTTGGTCACCTAGTGACAGATTTTGCCTTCTTCCATCCAAGAGTTATTGCACAACATCCTCTGTAATCATATGGCCAATGTATGGTTATGCTTTTTAATTACTTATAACACTTTCTAAAGTTTTGCCACTTCCTTATTACAGGTGACACAACTTGAAGAGAATGACACTCATTAATGAAAGCCACCCTGAAGAGTTTATCCTACTAGGCTTAGATGATCTGCCTTGGCTAGAGCTTCCTCTATTCATTGTTCTTCTTATTACATACCCCATGACCATGATGGGAAACATTGCCATCATTCTGGTGTCCAAGTTAGACCCCCGTCTCAATAGTCCCATGTATTTCTTCCTCACCAACCTCTCCTTTTTAGACATGTGTTTAACCACAAGCATTGTGCCGCAGATGCTGTTAAACCTGGGAAGTTCTAAGAAGACCATCAGCTTTGTAGGATGTGTAGTTCAGCTTTATGTCTTCCACTTTATGGGGGCCACGGAATGTCTTCTCTTGGCTATCATGTCCTTTGACGGCTACATGGCCATCTGTAGGCCTCTGCACTACAACCTCATCATGAATCAACACATCTGCATCTTACTAGCATGTGTTATATGGCTGACTGGAGTGCTCTTTGCTTTATCAGAGGCCACACTTACCTTACAATTGCCATTGTGTGGTGTCAATAAACTGGATCACTTGTTGTGTGAGATTCCAGTTCTGATAAAGACTGCCTGTGGTGAAAAGGAAGCTAATGAACTTGCACTGTCTGTGGTGTGTATTTTTATTTTAGTTATTCCTTTATGTTTAATTCTTGCCTCTTATGCTAGTATTGGACATGCTGTACTTAAGATTAAATCTTCTGAGGGAAGGAAAAAGGCCTTTGGAACATGTTCTTCTCATCTTATTGTAGTTTCCTTATTTTATGGTCCAGCTATTGGCATGTATCTTCAGCCTTCCTCCTCCATCACAAGGGACCAGCCCAAGTTCATGGCTCTCTTCTATGGAGTGGTGACTTCTACAGTCAACCCCTTCATCTATACCCTGAGGAATAAAGATGTAAAAGAGGCATTAGGCAACCTAGTGAGAAACATTTTCATTTCAAAGTGAAAGGTTGTCAACAAAATAAAATTACTTATTTAAAAGGTTTGTATTGATTTTTTAACAATTCATTTAGACTAATAATCCAATCTCATGCTATGTGTTCTTCTTGATAAAAATATTTTGTTTCTGACATTTTACAGTCACCTTGGGCATGAATGATATTAGATTGTGTGCACTAGTATGGAAAGTTTATTTGTGAAAATATAGAAAAATAGTATTTTCTATTTGAATACTGAACTAGCAACTGTATTTATAATATAAATTTATTAGTTTAAGTAGATTAGTTTAAGTAGATTCATGATTTTTTGTTTTTATTTAGTGTGGAATTCATAGAATTCAATATGATGTTGCATAGTGAAGACATGTAGACATGTTCAAAAAATCCCTCATTTGGACTTTTCTATTGAGTTTTTTGGTATGATCGAGATCTGAGAAAAATCACTTAAAGGAAAGACTCATAGTACACTGAACCACACTACCAAAATTAACTGCAACCAGACATATTCTTTGAAAATAACAGAACATCTGGTGCTACACTAGGTCTTGAGAACTTTGGAGTTTTGTAAATAATTTGAGTAATTAAAAAATTAATTTGTGGGTAATTGTTAGGGGATTGTCACCAAAACTTTTTAAATTTCAAGAGTTTCATACTTTAAATTTTCTTTGTGTTTTTGAAATATTTTTATATTCATGACATGTGTTGAAGATGAGACCCATTTCTAAATATGGTAGAATTTGTTTGTATTTATATATAACCTATTTAAATAGCTGAAGGTAATCTTAACAAATATTATTGCACATTTTGACTATAATCCATCACAGCAGATGAATGTAGAGTTTTCCACTTGTATTATCACAAGGGTATTTAAATTTTTCAGATTTCAGAGCTTTATGGATTAAGGATGCCCAACCTGTATAGATATCTTGAGCTTTGGGGGGAAAGACTTTAATTCGATGTTAAAAGCATAGCTACTAAGGCTAACAACAGTTGTTCATAGTGCTTATATTACCCTGAGTTCTGACTCATTTGATGTGTATGCTACTTTCTTTGTCTGTAAAGATTATTCATTTTGGAAATGTAAATGTAATCCAGACTTGGTGAAATATCAGAACTTTATGAAGTATTAATGTAAAAGTCTCAGGATAAAGAATACTTAAACCAGTGGTAGGAAAAACCCACAGAAACATCTTTAGAAGAGAACTTCACATTTTTAAGGTATGTATGTTCAGTACATTTTATAATTTAGTTAACATTTAAGAAGCCCTAATGAGACAAAGGCATATCACTATATCAATGTGAAATTGTACTCTACTTTTGATGCAAAGCATAAATAATCTTGAGAATGCCTTTTTCAAGAAAGTTAATTAGAAACCTTTGTCCTTTCCCAAAGCAAGAACAAATAGGAAACATTAAGGGATTTTATCTTTGTCATGATGAAAGACTTGGGAAAGTCTTTAAGAAATCAAGATGGTTTAAACATTGTTTTCTCCAAATTAGGGATATCCTTCTCTATTAATAGCATAATAACTTCTAGGCATGAAGTGCATCCTTTTCTAAGAGGGATAAATAAACTAGACTTAAATTAGAATTCTGGTTGAACCAATGCCTTTAAGAGCTAATATCTTTTCAAACTGACATCTTTAGAATTTCTAAGCCTTAGAGGAGTCACAGAGGCCACTGATGAAAAGGGTAGAGTGAAGAAGCAGTATACATGGTGGAATTAGAAAATATGTCCGATTTGTTTGAAGAAAGGACAGTAGATTTAAACATAGATAACTAATGTCCTAGTCTAATATGAGAAGTAAACACTTTAACATTGTGATTAAAATAAGTGTATTTTGAATAAATGCTTAAATTTTTACTTGAGCCAAAAAGTATGTATATAATACAATAAATGTAAAATAACCTTCAATGTGTAGTGAGTATTCAAAAAATCACTTAAGAATTTGTTACACAGAAAAATAACTTCTGAGTGTGTTTATTTTTATTAAGATTGACATCATGCAAATTGTTTCAAATGATTTCTGGATATAGACACTTTAACTACTTATCTCAAGATCTTAATATCATCATATATATCAAACTTTGGTTATTATCATATGAAGAGTTAGGAGGTTGACCTAAATAGCCACTGATGCTTTCTGTTATTTTATATAGGCAGAAACAAAGTCCAATACACTAAGAGGTTTCTAATTATACTTCTCATTACTTCCCTTTTAACCAGTACATTGTATTGTATACATAACCCCAAACCACCATCCCTTTCCAAACCAACTATAATGTTATAATAACTCCATTTCTTATACTTTCCTGCATTTTCACCTTTGTTCATTCATTTACTTTTGCATTTAAAAATGCCTCTTCCAATTTTCTAAATCTTAAAGGTTTCCTTAAAACGATCTAATATAATAAGTGGGAAAATACATTTGCTAAAATATGGTTCTGTCTTTTGCTCAAGAAAAATGTCTACAACCAAAAGAAACATCAAGAAAGAGATAAAATCAAAAAGGATCTGCAAAACAACCAGAACACTAGTGAAACCCTCTGCAACTTAATGAGATGCTGTCTCAAAATTAAAAAAAAAAAAAAATAGGAAAGACTGGGGATGAAGCTCAGTGATAAGTGCTCTTGAGTTCAATATCCAGTACCAAAAGCAAAAATCAAACAAACAACAAAACAAAACAAAAACCCAAGAAAACAGGAAAAAAAGAAGAAAAACAAATAACAAACTAACAGGATGAAAATGTAAGTCCTTACTTACCAATCAGTAATTACTTCTAATGTAAATGGACTAAAATACGCAATTGAAAGACAGATGACTGACAGATAATAAAACAAGTTCCAGCTGTGTTACTAAAAAGATTCATTTTCTCTTTAAAGACAAACAAACTGAAAATAAAGGATGGAAAAAGACTGTTCAAAAAAATGGAAACCAAATGAGAACAGGATTAGCAAGACTAACAACAGTTACAATAGACTTTCAGTCAAAAACTATGAAGTTAAATAAAAAAATCATTATATAATAATGAAGCCAATTTCACCAAGGATATAATAACTGTAAATTATATAAAACAAATATTAAAAGTCTTAAAAATAGACAGGGGATTTCTATATTCCATTTTCACCAATAAATTGATTGTTCAAACAGAATATTAATAAGAAAACATTGTTTTTAAACTCCACTAGAGATCAAATGGTTATAAAACATTCTATCTTAAAGCATTACGGTATACATTCTTCTCAAGTACACAGAGAACATTCTCCAAGAAATATCTTGTGTTAGCCCATAAAACTCATTTCTGACTATTTTAAGGAGTTCAAAGTCATATCATGTAAACTTCTCTGAATAAAGTGGTATAAAATCAATAATGACGAGAAATTTACAAAGTTTGAAATATATGTAAGTTAAACAACATGCTATTGTTTAAACAACCAATAAATCAAATTAAAAATGACAAAAAATTCTAAAAATATATTGAGACATAAAAATGAACATGCAACATTCCAAACTTTGTGCAGAAGCAAATGAAGCTGAGACTAGAAATGCAATAGAAAAAAAAGATAACAAAACTAACTTTTTATTTCTTTTGAAAAGATAGTAAAAAATCAATAATCCATTAGATATATTATGAAAAAAGTAAAAATTCAAAGAAGCATAATAAGATATGAAAGAGGAGATACCACAGAAATACAGAGGACAATAAAGTTACTATGGATAATTCATGCTAATAGTTGGATAGCCTAGAAAAAAAAATGTATAAATTCCTACAATCTATCAAGACTGATCATGAAGAAACAGAAAGTCTGAACACACTGATAAAAAGTAAGGAGATAAGATCAATAACAAGAAGTCTTCAATCAAAAAAGATCTCAGGAACTGATGGCTTTGCTGATAAGTTCTATCAAATATTCAAATAGTAATCCCCAAACTATTCAAAAAAAAAAAAAAACAAAGAAAAGATACTAGTTCCAAAATTTTTAAAAACAGACAAGGATATTACAAAAAATGAAAACTTTAGGTCAATATCCCTGGAGATCTGTGTTGCAAAAACCATCAAGAAAATGCTAGCAAATTGAATTCTACAACTTGTTAAGAGTATCATTCAGGGCTGGGTTGTGGTTCAGTGGTAGAGCACTCGCCTAGCACATGCAAGGCCATGGGTTCAATCCTCAGCACCACATAAAAATAAATAAAGGTATTGTGTCCAACTACAACTAAAAATATATATATATATTTTTAAAAAAGAATATCATTCAACTTGATTAAGTTGGATTTAACACTGGAACACAAAGGTGATTCAACATATACAAATCAGTAAATGTAGCACATCATTTTAACAAAAGAATTATAAAATCATATGGTAATTTCAACAGATGTGGAAAAATTAACTGACAAAATAAAACATCATTTTTATGATAAAAATGTTGTCAATTCAAGCATAGTAGGAAGGTACCTCAAAACAATTAACAATAAATGTAGCTGAGGATGTGGGGAAAATTTTCATTCATACATTGCTGGTAGGACTACAATCTGGTGCAACCACTCTGCAAAGTGGTAAGAAGATTCCTTAGAAAACTTGGAATGGATCCACTATTTTACCCAGTTATTCCACTCCTTGATTTATACCAGAAGGACTTAAAATAAGCGTACTACATTGACACAGCCACATAAATGTATATAGGAGTTCAATTCACAATAGCCAAGGTATGGAACCAACCTAGGTGCACTTTAACATATGAATGTATAAAGAAAATGTGGTATATATACACAACGTAATATTTATTAACTGTAAAGAAGAATAAAACTATGACATTTGCCAGTATCATGCCAAGCAAAATAAGCCAGTCCCAGAAAACAAAAGGTCAAATATTCTCTTTGATATATGTACACCAACTCATAACAAGAAAGAGTAGGGAGGGGAAGTATTGAATTTTATTAGATTAGACAAAGGGGAATAAGGGAAGGGAGGGAAATTGAAATAAGAAAGACAGTAGAATGAATCGT